ATTAAGGTGGGGGTTCAAAGAAAAAATGGTAGGGGCTCATTTTGTTGGGTGGAGGTCCAAAGAATTGGGTGGTCCAAAGTAAAGATGTAGGTGCTAATAGCAACACTCTTTTTTTATTATAATTTTATCCCTCAATTAAATTACCTTTTTAGACATACACGCCCCATTCAATCATCACCACTATCCATCTCCGACGACACTGGTTCCAATTCTAACTCTAACTCCGGTGACTGCACTCTCCAACCTCGATCTTCTTCAACTTCTTCTCTCAGCCTCCATCGTTGACCCCCCTCCTCTCTTCTTCTTCTTCTTCTTCTTCTTCTTCTTCTGCAATTCGCACCGCACCTCCCACCGCTACTATAACTTGTGATGTCCCTCCCCGCAATCGCTAAATACAACTTGCATCTCTTCCCCCGTCATCCATCTTTGGCCCATTGTCTATTTTCATCTTCTTCTTCATCATCTAGATTTGCAAAACCCTAGAGTGCTCTCTCTCTCTCTCTCTCTCTCTCTCTCTCTATCTCTGCAATGGAGAATGTTAGGATGCGAGATTGTTCGTGATGGCAAGATAAGGGCATACGACAATGGATGGATGAGAGACAGAACTAGGAGAGGTGCGACTAGACTGGAGAGAGGGGTTGGTGTTGGCTACGACGGCGAGGGCTTGGGAGAAAGGGTTAATGGCACTAGTAGGAGGGTAGGGAGTCCATACAAGGGGAAAAATGACGGCTGCAGGTGAACGACAGTGGTTGCTGTAGTGGTTAGGATTGGGGTTTTGCTAAAGAAAGAAATGGTGGTTTGGTATTATTTGAAAAAATTGTGGTGTGTATTGAGACAAAATCAAAACTTTTAATTTGAGTGTGGTGTGAACTAAACAAAAAGAAAGTCATGGTGTGTACTACGATAATTAGTGGTATGTAAATAGAATTACCCAATATATTTTAGAAGTATTGTTAGTAGCACTCTATAAATATTATTTTGGACTTTTTAATTTTTAATTTTTTTTATTATAATAATAACCTCAAATAAAATTATTAAAAATGACATCATTAATTTTGGGACACCTCATCTCACAATTAAACCTATACACCTACTATATCATGAATTAAGGTTTATGAGAGCACTTACCTCCATCACCACTCAACCATCTTTCCCAAATCCCACCTTCAAAACCTACTCACCCTCAAAACCATGAAAATCTTTTGGCAGCAATACTCCTGCAGTAACAGTGGCAACCATTTGACTACCTACACTTCTCCGGCAATGACAATATTCAGGTCCGAACATAGAAATTTCTTAACACATTAAATGACCAAAATTGTTAACGCTTGCAGAAGTTTTTATCTTTTCAAGTTTGGGAATGCAGGCCCGAATATTAGTTCTTTGTTCGGGATTCTCGAACAAATAAGTAATGCTTGAGAATACAGGTCCGAACATGGAAATTTAACACATTAAATGGTCAAAAATTTTAACATTTGCAGAAGTTATCGGAAGTAACCCAAATTCATTATTAAGTTCAAAAGTTATTCCTTCATCGTGTAGTTTTGATAATATTGTTGCGTAGTTCTCTACTGAACTCATAATTTATAATATCTACCAACAAAACCAATTATTATAATTTTTTTCCTACAAGAGAAGAAATTATTACAAGAAAACTAAAAAATTATGTATATATATATAGAGAGAGAGAGAGAGCATACTAACTGTGACAATAGTGGATGGAGACAATAGAGACAGTTGGCTCTTCTTCTTGGTGGGCTTTGTTAGGGTTTTTTGGAAGAGGGGTTTGTTTGGGATGGGATGTGGGGGGTGTACATTCAATGGGTGGAATGTTTTCACAAGGATAATTTTGATATTATTTGGGAAGGAAAATTTTGAGGATTCAAAATTTATAAGTAGAAACCCAAAAACATAGAGGGTCCAAAATAATTCATGAGAGGCTAATAGCACCAATCATATTTTAGAGTGTTGGCTTTTGAACATAAGAAATTTAAATTAGGATTTATAATCCGAGTGTCTCTATCAATAACGTTTTTCACTTTTTAAGCGACTTGAAACTATAAAATTTATTAAATTTTTATTTATATTTCTATTTTTTGTCAAATTTATATTTTTATAATCACCTCATTAAAATCTATCATATAAGATATATGAACAGCGTAAAATTTAAAAATAATAATAATAATAATGAAATTTCATTGGAAAAGTCAGTCAAAACATAGTAAAATTTTATTGACTTTTGCATAGTGAAAATTTTAGTGACCAAATTCAAAGAAATTTCTATTAAAAAGTAAAAAATTATAAATTTCAAAATCAATTACAAAAATTAAGTCCCTAATTTCAAATTTATATATACAAAATTCAAATTGAGTGTTCTAAAATGATGAAATTTAAGTACAATTTTACTTACTATCTAAGTGAAATTTCACTAAGACAGTGAACTTTTATTGTATGATATAGAGAGAATAAAGAAAAATGAAAGAGAGCTAACAGAGAGAAAAGAGAAGAATGAGGGGAAAACAAAAGAAGAGAAACACATACAAATCAAAGGAGATTGTGCAAGAAACTTCATTGTCACAAATAAACTTGATGGAGATATGAATAGAATGATAGTTAAAGAATGGTGGCGGTGGCAAACAATGGCTATGGGGGTAGCAGATGGTGACTATGATTGATAATAAAGATAGTAGATGGTGACGGTAGTAGACAGTGACAATAGCAATAGCATACACTGCTATGATTGATCATAATAATGGTAATGGTGGTGGCAATTGTGAATCTGAAACATGTCAAAAAGATAGAGAGATGAAAGAGAAGAAGTTCTTGAAAAGAAGGTATAGGATTACAAGGTTATTATTGTCTTTTAAAGTAAAATATTTCTTTATTCTTCTAGAGTCTGAAATTATAGGAATTTTAACTACCAAACAAATTGTTGTTGTACTTAAAATCTTAAACAAACTTGTAAAAGCATCTCCAATGAAGCTGCCAAAGCTATAATTTGGCAAGAGTGACAAAAAAAAGATCTCCAATGGTTTGCTATTCTTCTTGTCAAAGATAGCAAATGCCATTTCTGTTCTCAAATTTGACAAGTTGAATGGTAGGTGTCAAACATGCCACGTCATCAAATACCAACAGATTTTTTACTCCAAATTCAGTTGAAAAAACAAAATCCATTCACTAGAAAAACCTCCCAAATTCGATATCATTCACTAGTTCCACAAATTTCATAAACAAATAGAATCACAAATTCAATTTCATAAGGATCATGCAATTTCAGAAATAGAATTGGACTTCCGTTGCAGAAACAGAATTCGATTTCATAATGATCACTCAAGAACTAGTTCCACAAATTTCACGAATAGTAGAATCAATTTAGAACAAATCACAAATTTCATAATCAATTTAGAATAAATGAAACCCAAATTTTAGTTGAGAACAAATCGATCCAAATTTCACAAATTTATATAAATTTCATAAACGAATTTAGAGGATAAATACTAGGATTCTAGCATGATTGATGAACTTGTTCTTCATCTCAACCTCCATCGACCTCTGGGGCTTCTTCTTCATCGACTTGTATCGCTCGTTCCTAGACCAATCGAGCTCCATCGAAGTCCAAACAATGGTGTTCGGTCAAACACTGAAGTTCCATTGAACTCGAAGATCGGTGATCAGTTATCAACACTGGTGGTGGTGATGCAAATCACAAAGAAAGAGAGAGAGAGACACACACACATACACACACACAGGCAGAGAGATAGAGAAAAGACTGGTTTTGGCGATCGCGTCTAGTGGCTGTGATGATCAAAATGAAGATAGAGAGAGGGGTTTCTGATAAAGATTGTGAGAAAGGGGGGTCGTGACTGTTATGGATGAAGATGGAACACCAAAGAGAGAGAGAGAGATGCTCTCATCTCAGCTGATTGGTTTGATGAGAGCAAGAGAGAAAGGAGGTTTTCTCTTGAGGTAAGCACGGATCATTCTAGAGAATAAATCTCAACCATTGGATTGTTGTTTAATCAACGGCTGAGATCTTGTTCATTAATATTTTTTTTTACAAAAAGTTTGAAAAATGTCACAAAAGATAAAAAAAAATAAATAATAAAAAAATTACTAAAATATCTATATCCAAACAACACCTGGAAAAGTGAAAGAAAAGTTGGTTAATGTATGCCAAAATGGCATGTAACCATCAAAACACCATTGCTATAATTTGGTAATTACTACTGTTCATGGCCAAATTATAGCAATGGCAAATGCTATTATAGCATTAGCATTTGCCATTGGAGAAGCTCCAAATGAATGCCACCCTAATTTCCCTTTTTTTTTTAAAAAAAAAAAATTTGATTTATTGAACCTTCTCTCTAATTCTATGTTTAAATCGTGAATTTATCATAAACAGGGAAATAATTTAATTTAATTTCTCACTTCATTTTTGTTTTTATCTTTCCTCATTCTCCCTCCACAAATCCAATAATCAAATCTTAGTTCCGGAATGCACAAACCAATTTGTTTCATTTTAGCAATAGGAGGACGAGGGTAGTGATCAGGCCATAAGCTCTAATCTAAAAATTCTCTCTTTCCTGACAACTAATTAATAAGGAACAAGTCCAAGACCCTTCCACAACACAAAATGACGAAATAGTAATATATAACCAATCTAGAATATGCGTAGAGTGCAAATAATCATTCAATCCTATCTCTCGCTCGCTCTCACTCACTCACTTACACAGTATGCAATGAATTCTCAAGGTGCCTACAAATAATAAAACCCACCAGCCAATCTGTTCCTTGTACAGGAGAGCAATTCTCAAGTATTCATTTCTTTTTCTTTTTTTTCCTTGCATAAATTATTAGTTGGATGATGGAGACAGACAACTCAAACAATTTTTAAGACAGTATTTACGAAACTAATTAGAACAAAAAATTGCATAAATTTATTCCTTCTTCGGTGCGGCTTATCATTTTATAATACAAATTAATAACATGGAAAGAAAAGATACTAGAACAATATAATACATATAAATTCAGAAGAAATCCAAATAAGATGTAAAAGTCTCAACTCGACCAAATTCACAGCCAAATTCATGGGTGTTCAAACTCCAAAAATTGCATTATAGTCAGAAAAATGACAGTCCTAGAGTACAGGGAAAAGGAATGCTAATTTTGGTGACAGACATACTACTATCATCTTTCTAAGTTTGATTGAAAAAAAAAAAAAAAAATGATGAACAACATGAAAATCAGAATTTGTTCAAGTTCACTACTTGTAAGAGCTTCCAAGTGGTTTCGGAGCAGCAACCATACAAAAAGGAAAAAGTGCTTTCAAGCCTTAACTCACCTTTTCTCTTTCGGTTTCCATTGGAAAGCCTAACTTCACAATTCGTGAAGAATCTTATATAAAATATATTAAGCAAGCTCCAAACAAAATGTGTAAGCAAGGCAACTTCAAATGCTGATTGCTCTTTCTCACTTAAACCTGCAAGAATGCTGCCTTTCAACCATTCTACCCAGAGGGTAAAGGAATACATCTACATACATATATATACAGAAGTATATGTACGTATATATGAGAAACCAATTCAAGGAACCACCATACCTTGAAGCGATCCCACGTAAACCTATCTGGAGGGTTTAAAGTTCATCATGACCCTGTGGTTGCTCCTTGTTCATCGAGACTAGTTTATCTTGTAGTTCCTGTCACAAGTTCAACAAAATACCCAAATACCATGGAAGTTCCGGAGCAGGAGAGTATGGATTGAAACTTAAACTGAATACAAATAAGTACCTTAAGTTTTTCTTCTACACAAAGAACTGGGGTAGATAGCAATGCTACATATCTGCCATGACAACAGAACATTCAGATGCTAGTGCATGGACTGCATGCATGCATGAGAGAGAGAGAGAGAGAGAGATTTACTCGCAACGGCTTGGTTCATCCACATCAGTTGCCTCAATCTTCAACCCACATCTTAACTTGACCTGTATAGTTAGTAAATAAGTTGATTATTCTTTTCCCTATTACATTATACAAATTAGACATATTCCAGTAATCAAACACAAGACCATGGTGATGAGTTGTTTAAAGAGAAAGAAAACAGAATATGACCACAATATCAGCACACAACCAAATCAAATTGACCATTCGAATGACATCCTATGGATGTGGGTCGACTGCATCTCTGCTAATTGAAACAGAACTTTTTAAAGATTAGTTTCACCACATCATACTAAACCAATGCATCACCAAGCAAAATAAGATGACGGTCAGCACATACCTTTAAACTTCTATCAGGTCCATTCCAGCATTTATCCCCACTTGAAAATAGCATGACTTTGTATGAATCCTCAAATTTTTCCCAATCCCTATATTCAGGTAATGGAGAGAGAACATAATAAACAGCAAGCTAATAAAAATGAAAAAAATGTGATGTTGGTGGCTCCATGGAAAAACATAAAATGAGCATAACCGGTACATGTATCCTTAAATATTTCCATAAATCAAATGTGCGTAGTATCAGTGTAACCATTAAGGTTGGCAGTCACTCAAGTGACAGTCAACTAACAAGGTAAAAGAGAAGGGTTGTATAAACATTAGGATGGGAAGAAACAACAGTCTTAGGGGTCGTTTGGCAAGTGGCTATTATTTTATCCAAAAAGTTTTCAACTCGTACAAAAAAGTCACAGATTCCTTCACATTCACTCTACAAATTCAAAGATTCCTTCCCATTCACGCTACTTTTTGCCCATTTTTCCATAAAAAGTCAAAAAATCCTTCCCAAACATATTGGTTTTTCTTCATCTCATATTTTAGCCAAAAAGCCAACAAAAAAGCTACTTTCCAAACGAGCCTAAATTAGATATTCCCATATGATAGTCAACTAGTTTACTTCATCCTCATTATCTGATGTTTCCAGCATGCAAAAACAACAATATACATGTGACTGCTTAGACAGCCAAGGGGCTCCTCAAGTTCATTCTCGACCTGGATCTCCCAAGTGGTAATTACCAATTTACCATCACACTCACAACATGACCAAACCAGTAATCCTACAACATCACTTGATCCACCGCTTTCAGTCCAACCCATAAGTTTTCAGTTTCCTTAACAAGGAAAGAACTCCAAAGGTCATCAGTGTAAGGGAAAAAATGGATGACATAGATGCCTACCCCAAGCGAGTTGTGCTGTGCCCCTCCTCCTGGGAAGCTTGTTTGAATGGGCAAATTTTGTAAACATACCTGAAGCAATATTTGCAATTCCCATGAATATTAAATGAGAAAAGACTAATGTTTGAAAAATAGTAACCAAACATAAGAGAATAAGAAGTTTGTAACTTGTTCTGCTTGATATCAAAGCAGTTATTGTAGAATGAATAGAACTCCTTCTCTGGACCTGTAATAATGATTTTTGGGTTCAGATACAGAAGGCAAGCCAATAACAACAAACCTCTTCATTTAGAAATAAACACAGCAGCATTGATGCAAGTAACTGAATTTCACTTCAACTTACCAAAGTCATGTTTTAACTTTTTAGTCAAACTTGATATTCTTGATTGTATCTTAGACAACTTGGCACTGGCTTCATCATATTCTTTGCGTACATGAGCAGCCTCTACAGAAGCCAACACAACAGATAACCCTTTTACATGCATGCAGTCATTATTGTTTCCAATTGATAATAAACAAAATTTCTTTTGCTACCTGATACATCCACAGGAGTCTGGAACAAATTAACAGCTTGTAGAATGTTGCGCACAGTCTGTTGTATCTTCTCTAACCAAGATGGGTTACTCGCGGTTGTTATATCTGAACATGTAATATGATGATTACAAGTAACTAAAATAATAAATCGGGAAACTAAAGTTCACTGTAGATGCTACTTATCCCAAAACAAATAGATAAATAAAATTCACTGTAGCTGCAGAATGAAACATTGAGGAATGGCTTCACATTTTCATGGGAATATTGGAAGAAGCAGTTGCAAACCTGACAAGTCTAAATCATCATCTGACACAGATTTGTACGAAGAACCAAAATCGTCATGATTCTCATCTCCAAAATCTTCCACAGGATCATCTTCACCATCATCGTCATCATATCTTTGGCTGTCATCCTCAGTTTCTGAATCATATCCTCTGTACTCCTCATCATGTACATCCTTTGGTGCCTCCTCAGAGATTTCAGGTTTATCATCTTTCACAGCATCAACTTCCCTAGTTTGCTGCCCTGTATTTTCTCCTGTCCAACGGGAAGCAACAAGACGACCCAACTCTTCCTTTGATAGTGACTCAGCATCTTCAGATGCATCATTTTCCTAAAAACACCATACAATGTAAATATCCATCTCCTCAAATTAAGTTGAAGGCACCCATGTATGACAAGGTCAAAAATGGTTGTCAAGTAACTACATGCAATCACTTAAAATCCCAATGAAATGCCAACACTAACAGGCATCTTCCAATTTCCAAAGATGAAGAGAGATCTTTGCTCAAGGCACAAAAATACCCTGGAAGGGAATACATTTCAAGTTCTTCAAAATTATCAAAATGGAGTTTGCTCTTGGCATATAGTCGTGCAAATTTAAAAAAATTCATTTTAAATACTCAGAATCTATGAAGCACGGGTACGGATACGGGTACGATACGGGTACGTCGATACGGTAAAATTCAAAAAAAAATAGGGTACGTGTACGGCTTGGTACGCTTGTAAAAAAATATTTATTGTTAATTTATAGTAATACAAAAATTAATTAAATAGTTTAATTTGTTAAGGTCCAACCTATAATTAACATTTAATGCCAAAAGTAAAGGCATAAATCAAAATTAAATGTCAATATATTAAATATCTTACAAACCATAGTTTAATTTTAAAATCATGTCAAACATAAAAAATAAAAATAAAAAAGAAGTATAGTAAAAGGAGTTTTATCTGTGTAGTAGAAGAAAATATTGTTTCAACTGAGGTACGGTATGCCTTGAGTATATACTAGATACATCTGGGTATGACAAAAATTAAAAAGAAAAAACTTGGGTATGTGTTTTGTATACCCAGTACGTCTGTAGAAGTACTATACGAGGTACTATACGCCGGTAAGTACCCGGTACGGGTATGGCATATTTTTCGAAGTAGCCATGCTTCATAGCTCAGAATAGAGTCAATGTTTGCCTCAGATTCCATTGAAACCCTCTTAAAATCCACGTACATAGTTTGCCTCTTAATTGAATCAATCACCAGTACATATATTTTTAGTTACAAAGTCCAATAAAATTTAACCATAGATACGGTACAGTAAATATTCTAAAATGTGATGTAGCAAGTGCAGGTTCATGGACTTAGAAATCAGTCAATGCACAATTTAATTCTCTGAAAACTAAATCCAAAAATGGTGCCCTATTTCAAATTTGTCAAAATTCAGGTAAAAATGACCAAAAAGTTGGAATATTTTTAAAAGAATTGGAAATATTCTGCTGCAAAATTCAGGAGGAAATGAACTTTTAATATTCTTTGTTATTTCAGCCAAAAAATTGGACCAATTCTCAAAAAAGCCAAATGAACTTCAGTCAAAAATAGTTGAAGCATAGTCGTCAAATCGGAATTCAAATCGTGAATCAAAATGGTCTTATACTGAATCGGGAATCGTAAATATTGGGTCACTTTTTCTAAATTACATAGAAAAATATATCTACACTTAGATATTAAATGTATCTAATAAATATGAAATATTTAGACTTAAATTAATGAAAATATTTTTTTAAATGATGATCATGTGGTCTAATAAGTAAAGAGTTAACACAGGTTCCCTGTACACCACTTTACCTTTTCCCTTTTAAATACTATTTTTTATTAGAGAAAATTAGTCTAAGGTCCCTCTCCCATATTTGATAATTTAAGAGATCCACAATATTATTTTATTATGTTTGAGGTCCTCCACCCCCACAATCATATATACCACACAAAAATTTCCAAATCAATCCCACCACTCTCTATCTCCCCGATCTCATCACTTCACCTCCGTCGTAGTTATCGCCTACTCCACTGTTGCTGCCAGCACCTCTCATTCAGATCAACTTCGCAGATCGCCTCTCCTCCACCAGCATCACCATTTCTCTACAATTCACAGACCACGCGAGACATTCATTGACGACGAAATGTGCATCTAAACTTTCACAGAGCAGGTCACAACTTTTGATCGATTGTCTATGGGGAGTGTTTCGTCTGAAGATAGGCCGGATCAGCAAAGTGAGCTCTGTGGAAGTTATAGCTTGAGTGCCGATGTGAGTGAGTCCGAGAGTTAATATAATGCACTTACCTTAAAAAAAAGTATGAAGTGGTGTTTGTATATAGATATATAAATGTCTGTATGTATGTATGTATAGATTGAAGGAAACACTTGGGCCTTCTTTCCTGGAAGCAATAATAGTCTCCTCCAAAGAAAGCAAGAGTAGATTGAGAGAGAGTAAGGGCAGGGCGGTGATTGCGAGGCAGTGTGATTTTCTTGGATCCCAAACAGACAGAAAAAGGAACAATGCTCTCCAGTGAAATTTTAAATTTCTCTGCCCTCCCTGGCCTTTCATGGACTCTCCAGAGAAATTTGAAATTTCTCTGCCTTCCATATACTTCCCACTCTCCAGAGAAATTTCTCTGGGAAAAATTTCTCTGGGCTGGAATTTCTCTGGATCAATATTAAGGAACCTTGACATTATAAAAATATTAAATGTCCTTTATACTATAAAATTTTAATATCAAGAACCTTAAAAAAACCCCAAATAAAATACCATGTCGAACTATTCAGTGGATTAGGTTGTCGAAGGGACAATGAATATCATCGAGGTTGAATTCAAAACTCACAAAATAAATTTTTTGGTCGACAACAAAAAAATTTCTTAAGGCACAAAGCCAAAACAAAACTAATACAAGGATGAGGCATCCTCTACAAAGAAAATAAAAAAAAGGAAGTAGCGATAGTCGCAAGGCACAATCACAATCACACTACATATTACACACTATCACAATCACACTACATATTACACACTGACACCCAATTTGCAACAACCAAAAAAAAGTGGAATCCGTCCAAAAAGAGGATTCAGCAAAGCCCAAAAAAGAAGCTAAGATGTCGAACTCTTTCCATTAAAGTCTATATAGTTCTTTCAAAAACACATGCATTTCTCTCCAGCCAAATAACCCAAAAAGTCACAAAGACTGCACAAAGCCAAAGCACCTTGGCCCTCATTGTTCTACCCAAAACTCTAAACTCAACTAAAAGCATCTGTGCGCTAGTTTTTGGAGCCACCCAGATAACCTCCCCCAAACTAAGCAACCTTTGCCATAAACTCAATGTTACTAGACAATGCAAAAATAAATAGTCCAGTGATTCTCCATTCCTACAACACATGATGCACCATTGAGGATTTAGAAAATGGGAAAGTCTCCTTTTTTACAATGTACCATTTGTCAAAGTGCCTCCATGAACCAAGATCCACATGAACACCTTCACCTTAAGAGAAACACAAGCCCTCCAAATCTTCTTTTGAAAAGGAAACCAAGGTAAGTGAGGCTTACCAATGATTTTGTCAAAAAAATATTTACAAGAAAAATAACTTGATGAATGAATAGCCCAAAACTCACTTAACCTCCAAGTTTGGAACCAAAGAGACATGCTCAAGCCTTGACAACAAAAACACTAACTCCCTAGCTTCCCTATCATTCAGATTCCTAAGAAGATTAAAATTCCACGAAATTGGAGCCAAAGAATAGCAAGCCGCAATAGAACAATTATGAGACTGAGACACTATATAAATGTGGAAAAGACAAAGCAAAGGAAGAAGAATCCACCCAAATATCCTCCCAGAATTTGACAGCTTCACCATTTCCCACCCTCACAGAAAGAAAACGGGGATTAAATTGGATAAATATGAGAAATTGACTTCCAAGGAGCACATCCATTACCCCGAGAGACCACCTGTGAGTCTCTACCATTAGCATGAACCCCATACTTGCTTCTAATAACCGCATGCCATAATGAATCACACTCAATTGGGAATCTCCGTAACCACTTGCCAAGTAAGGCCATGTTCCTAGCCACAATATTACCTGTAGCCAATACACCCTTCTCCTTAGGACAAGAAACAATCTCCCAATTCACCAAATGATCCTTCTTGCCCTCATCCTTTCCTTCCCAAAGAAAATCGCTCATCAATTTTTCTAATGATCTTTCCACCTTGACTGGAACCTTAAACAAAGACAAAACAAATTGGGATACCACATAAAACTATCTTAACCAAATCGAAATTAGATCATACCTTCATCCTGGAATAACTGAGGGCAAGTGTACCTACCCCCTCATGAAAGTACCACCCTACTCTACCCATCCAATCTTTTGCCTATCTTTTCCACAATTAGGCTCCAGAACGATTCATTTCTAGGATTACCTCCAAAAGGGAGACCCAAGTATTTGAACGGAAGTGTCGCAATACCATATCCTAGAAGCACAGCCACTCGCTGAAGCTGATTATTATCCAAACTAATACCCACCACACTACTTTTTTCCAAATTGACCTTAAGCCCTGAGATTATTACCCCAAAAAGTCTCAATACCAAAAAAAGATTAACCGTTTGTCTCATCTCTTGAGGAAAAGAAAATAGTATCATACGCGAATTGTAAATGTGTCACGCTAATCCTATCTCTACCAACATCTAACCCCTCGAACAAACCTACCTCTCTAGCCCTGTCCACCATCCTTCCAATCACGTTTGTCACCAAAATAAAAAGAAAATGAGATAAAGGATCCCCCTACCTTAAACCTCTAGAAGCCATAAAACTCTTCTTACCATTGACAATCACCAACATATTACAAGTTGCCAAACACCCCCTAATCCATGACCTCCATCTCTCTCCATAACCCTTTTTATCCAATACAAAATCCAAAAACTGCCAATCCACATGATCACAAGCTTTCTTAAAATCCACCTTAAAGACAAGAACCTCCTTTCCCAAGCTTCTATATTTCTCCACCACCTCATTTGTCACCAAAACCACATCTAAAATCTGTCTACCTTTCACAAAAGCCCCTTGTGTTGGAGACACAGTCGCCCCCCAAGAAGTCCTTAACCCTTTTGACAAAACCTTCCCAAAATCTTGTAAAGTGATGTGACCAAACTAATGGGCCTGAAATTGCCAATTCTGACAACACACTCCTTAGGAATTAAACAAATGGATGTGGCATTTGCACACAGGTTAACCAACCCCGTCTCATGAAATTCCGTAAATACTCTTATCAAATCCCCTTTCACTACCTCCCAACAATCCTAAAAGATAGCCATTGAGAAACCATCTGACCTGGAGCTTTGTCCATTTCACAATCAAAGACCACCTCTTTAATTTTCAATTCATCAAAAGGCCTCTCCAGCCAGCTTGCACTTGTTTGAGCAATAGACCCCCACTCAAGTCCTTCAATCCCCGGTCTAACCATCTCATCCTTTGAAAACAACTTTGAGTAAAAATCAAAAATTCCTTTGACCATATGATCTTCCCTTTCCTCTACTAATACTGGACTTACCTCCAATTTTTTGATAAACTTCTTCCTTTTCCCATCTACAATCTTAGGAAAAAACTTTGAATTAATGTCTTAATATCCCCCTCTTTCAACCACTTCACCTTTGCCTTTTGAGCCCAAAAAATCCGCTTCCTAAAAATCAACTTTCCCAACTTCAACCTAAGCTCAATTCTCTCTCTCCTCATTGACTCAACCAGATCCCCTCGCATTTCCAACGCGTCCATTTCTTCAATCCTACTCAACACCTTAAGTTTTGAAGACTCCAAGTCCCCAAAAACAAACAGTCTTCTGAAAATAAATTAATTACAAAAAAGGGACATGCCAACTGGCATCTCCCGTATATGTCATCGCCCTATCATTGTGTCCAACACGGCTACGACAACTGCTTTGAAGTGTCAGTGCTTTATAGATGTTTGATACCAAAGCTTTTGAGTCTATCATTAGTGCTTAATCTCCCTATCATCACAACCCACACCACAAAAATAATCTTTGGTATGTGCTCTATAAACCATGTTAAGCTAGACCACTCCACTCTTGCCTTTGGTTCCTATATTTCATGTGTAGCAACCTAAGAAACATGGACATGGACACAAACACGGACACGCGACACGACAAGTATAGGCTGACAAGCCAATTTTCAAAAAATACAAGACACGATAATTTTAAATATTTTTTATATGTTATATATACGAATATATCATTCAAAGATAATAAAAAATGCAATATGATACTAATTCTTATAAAGTTATATGATTTTTATTTTATTATTGTATCTTAAGTTGTTTTGTTTAAACTTACAATTAGTTTCACCAATGTCTAATGGATAGACATGTGTGTCTTCCAAGTGTCCAAAGAATCTCCGAGTCTTTAAAAAAAATTATAAAACTGGACACGTTTTGAAGAGTGTCAGACTCATGTTGGCGAAGTGTCCAAAGAGTGTCGGTGTCCGACACGGACACAGACATGGACACAACATGGATACGCCACCTTCTTAGAAGTGTCCGTACTTCTCACTGGATATTCTCCCCTAGGGCTGAGAGTATAAATGGTGTGTGGTTTCCTGGAGCACTTATATTGTACTACTGTGCTGGTGCTGCTGCGATGTTTGCAGTTAGAGCAGTGTGCTGCTACTGAGGTGGACTTGCTCTTCTCTTGCATTGGAGTTGTGCTGCTGGGTGCTGAGCAACCTGCTGGTTTTGTCATTCACGAAACCTGTGATTCTATTTTCGAATCTTTTGGTTTTGCAGTTGAACTGACATAATTGTATAAAATTAGCTTGTTTTGTGCAGATGGCCCTCATCTTCTTTCTTTCTCTAGTAGATGATTCCCATCCTGGTACTGGCCTTACGGTATGCCCCTTTATTTTGTAAATCACGTCTATTCTTTTATATATGTACTCATAACTTATTTTTTGGAGGGTAAAAACACTAAAATTAGTTCTATGATTGGGTATTATTATTAGATTTAGACTAGGTTATTTAATAACCCAATAGCACTTAAAACTTAATGTGTGTTTTCTTCAAGGCACTCACGTCATCATTGGTGCGGGTGATGTTTTGGTTGGAAATGGGATTCAAATGCCCTATTTTCGGTCTCTTCCTTCTTTAAGTCCTTGAAAGGGGGAGGAGTTGTGGATTTCCCTTGGAAGGGAATTTGGAGGAACAGAGCACCGCTTAAGGTGGCTTTTTTTATGGCATGGAGGCAAGGGAAGCTATCTTGACAACAGACAAACTGAGATGTAGAGGCAAATTTGTGTTGCAGTGGTGCTTCCTGTGTAAAGGATGGAGGAGAGTGCTAATCACCTTCTCCTGCATTGTTCAGTAGTTAGGGAGGTATAAAGCATGGTGTTCTCGATATTTGGTGCGGAATGGGTAATGCCTTGCTCGGTCCAGGATTTGCTTGCCTCTTCAAGTGGTGGTTGACCGAGAGGTAAATGTTGGGATAGAAAGAAGATTGTCAAGGATGGCAGGATATGGCTAACTTGCTTGATGAGGTGTTGTTTGTGCAAAAGAAAATTAGAAGTGTAACCAATGAAAAAAGCTGAGATATACAGGGGAGGTGTTCATTCTGTAGGCGGTACGAAGTCCCAGAACAGGGGCAAATAGAGAAGGCTTCTATGTTGATCTGTCAAAGCCAATTTTGGTAGATTTTAAAGCAATGACTAAAAGTGTAGGTTTGACTGCCAAAAGCAGGACCTGCTGACTAAGGTGTTCCAGAAAGAGAATCATCACTGTGAAGTTGAGTGGCAAATGAAAGACTTCCGCTTTCTTCCCAGCTTTTTCTTTCTTCCCTTATAATCTAATTCCCAATTTAATAAGAGAGATAGTTTCAACAAGGGTGTGGAGAAAAGCAAATTAACTAGTGTACAAAATGACAACTATATTAATTCTCAAATTGTGCAGTTAATCACTTCTAATCCTAACAGCAAATCAAGAACCACAACTCCAATTTGTTTCATGAGTCTCAACAATTTAGTCTGTAATTGTATGAGTATGTTATCTTAGCAACTTCATTTTCAAAAAAATAAAATAAATGACAGTCAAGATTTTTCATCTACTTGAAATCTATTTGACACAAATTATAAATAGTCCAACGTTATTGAAAAAGTAAAGAAGAGGTTCAGCAATAAGGTCTACAATTGCATTAGCACCAATTGCAGGTGCATTCTGATCCAAGTATTACCACGACCTGCCTACAACCCAGATGCAATATGAGGCCCGATTGCAAGCATTACATGAGGTGTACTGAAGCCATTACCTTGAGCAGAATGCAATTATCACCCTGGTATTAAACAGCCTTGGGTCCCAAAACCAAGCTCATCAATAATATCTCCAAAAGTCCAAAGTTGGCTTTCTAGTTTCGATCTATGGTTAGAAGATCACTCACAAGGTGAGATGTTTCTCTTTCTGAGATACATCACGGCCTGTTTTAATCAATAAAGTGCTAAGGAGTTCATGAAGTTGGAAAACTAAGGTAAGAACAAAACTGAATAGAATTGAGGTTAAAATGCAATATACAGCATGAAGCTTGATAGAGAATTTAAAGGAGAATTTAAACTGTGTCATTGCCTGTCAATTTGGGCATCTTCTTTACCTCATTTTAAAGGGGTCCCATTCTTTTTCACTTCTAAAGATTGGAAAGTTGTTTGTGATGTATAGGGCTTTGGTGGGTTTTTTGTTTTGATGTAATGGTCGTTTGTTCTTGGAAAGGATACGTTGTCCGCTCTTTGTTGTTTGTTTTTTTTTTTTGGCTTCCTTATCAATAAAACTTCTTCTGTTGCCGATCAAAAAAAAAAAAAGCTTGATAGAGAATTAGTTTTATGGTATGTTCAGGTAGTACCTTGCTTACGACACCAGGATCAGATTCATACGCAACTGGAGATTCTTCCTCTTCCTTTGCTTCACCCTATAAGATGGAAACATGGATCAAACATGTCAATATCTTATGTGTAAGCTATGACACATAACCTCTTCCAAAAAACTATGTTTGCAGAAGGAGAGGTCCTCATTCACCTCTTGTACTTCATTCTTTGGAAGTCCTTCATTTCCAGAATTATCACTATGTGCAATTTCATCTATGAAGTCATTGGGGTGTTCTCTCGCATCCTGTCATAATGCTGTGAAATATGAGAACCCAAAAAAGGGAAGAAAAAAAAAATACTCACAATAAAAAAAATTAAAAATAAATAAATAAATATTGACCATAATGATTTAGCCATCACAAGCAATGCAAGCATGTAAAGGCATTTAGATAAATCCCAAACACAAGACGAAATTAATAACAATGATAATGACAATGACTAAGATTGCATTAATATCACAAGAATATTCTTGCTCCTTGAATATCACATCATCAATGTATCATCATCAAAATTATCAAAAGTACATGAAAATTACTCAGGGTTCTTAGAATAGTACAATTCAGGATTTAGTTCATATGATTTGATACAAGTTTCAAACAAACAATTTGAATTGTACTGTTGAATCGAAAATTGAGTGAATCACACAATTCACTACGATTCAGTTATGATTCGTTTTTGTTTGCACAAGACATAAAATGACATCGCTTTCACCTCTTTATGAAGAAATGAAGAGGAGATCAATTAGTAATATCAATATACATGGTTTTATATGTGTGTATATATAATTTAGTTATATTGATATTTATTTTATTTTAAAAACTCCGTGTATTTTTATATGTATTTACATATACAAAATAATATATTATATTAAATAAAGTGAATCTTACAATTCACTAGTCAATATAACTCACAATTCACTATTTTAGCAAAATGATTCACAATTCTATTTGTGATTTAATAACAATGCTTACACTCCATTTGTTTTGGTGAAAATTATTTTTAGTATTTTCTGGCATTTGGTACAATGAAAAAAAAAAAAAGAAGAAGAAGAGAGAGAGAGAAATAATTTTTTATGGTCGACAAAAAATGAGTTGATTTAGGAAAAAATGTTTTCTGCTCTTTTAAGCTAGAAAATATTTTCGTAACCAGTCTTATCAATGGCGCCATGACCACTACTCCTATTGTCGCTACCCTACCACCACCCACCACTGCCGCCACTACCACCACTAGAGTTGTGCAAAAACTGCACAATCTGCCTAAACAACCCAAAATGCGTAGGTTGAAACGGCTGGTGGTTCAGGTTGAGCAAGTAAAGCCACTTTTAGTGGTGGGTAAATTGTAGGCAGTTCAAAATACTTTCACCTGCTATGCTTATAAACGTTTTGTAGTAACCTTGTGCACCATACCACACAACAATTTCTTCAAAAGTAGCCTTGTGCTCTCTCCATCACCGGCTGACTACTCTGCCGGAAACGATCTTCTTCAGGTAATCTCAGTTAGGAATGGCAACGGGGCGGGGCGGGGCCGGGGATCGCACTCCCCGTCCCCGATCCCCGATGGTAAACATCTCCCCGACCCCGGCCCCGATCCCCGACGGGGAACCAATCATCATCCCCATCCCCGCCCCCTATCGGGGATCGGGTTTCCCCGACCCCGAAAATTCCCCGGACCAAAAAAAAAAAACAGCAGCGGCAGATTCAACATCAACATCCGATCCAAAAAATAAAAATAAAAACAAACAAACATCATCTACCAACATCATCTACAAACAGTTTATATAAATAACATCAACAACAATTTATATTAGATCTAAGTAGAGAGATTGAGAGATCGATCTGCTCAGATCTAAGTAGAGAGAGAGAGAGATTCATCTGCTCAATCGACTTTGGCATCGCGGCACAGAGAGATCGATCCGGTGCTCTGGTCGGTGCTCTGCTCAGATCGGTGCTCTGGTTCAGTGCTCTGTCAGATCGGCACTGGTTTGGTGAGAAAGAGAGAGAGATTAGATGTGAGGAAAAGAGAGATTAGAGGTGAGGAAGAGGTGAGGGATCGACACTGGTTCGGTGAGAAGAAGAGATCGGGGACGGCTTATTATTATTATTATTATTATTATTATTATTATTATTATTATTATTATTATTATTATTATTATTATTATTATTATTATTATTATTATTATTATTATTATTATTATTATTATTATTATTATTATTATTATTATTATTATTATTATTATTATTATTATTATTATTATTATTATTATTATTATTATTATTATTATTATTATTATTATTATTATTATTATTATTATTATTATTATTATTAGGGGTATAAAAGTAATTTCATTTCGGGGAATTTCGGGGATGGGGCCGGGGCCGGGGACGGGGCCGGGGATCGGGCCGGGCCGGGGATCAAACACAGATCACCGTCCCTGGCCCGTGACAGATCGGGGATTGATTTTCAAATACCGTCACCTCCCCGTCAGGGAAATTTTTCGAGGAAAAACCGCTTAAATCGGGGACGGGATCGGGGATCCCCGTCGGGCCGGTTTCAAATTGCCATCCCTAATCTCAGAATCCATCACCAGAATCCATCCACCACCGAACTCCCTCCATCATAGTCAGACTCCGTCCATCACATCCCCTTCACTGTCTTCCCTTGTTGCCCCTCATGCACTCCCCCCTTCATTGTCTTCCCCTACTCCTCTCAGCCCCTCACCTCCCCTTTCCCTTGCTTTCCCCTCCATCACCAACAACCCTGTCCCCTTCATGGACTCACTTCTCCACTCTTCCCCCATCACAAAATTAAATGTTCTAATTCGAGCATTATGGTTAGATTCAAAAACTTTACAATATGAACATTTTTGCAGGTACCATATCAGTAACTGATTCTGTGAGTAAGATGGGACTAATTTTGTTTTGTGACTAATGTATTAGTATTAGTTTTAAATGTTCTGATTTGTGTTTTGTAACAGATTTTTGAACTATTCAAAAACCTTACAATAGAATCATCATTTTTTAAGGTACTATTATTAGTATACGACATCAAGGGTGACCATTGGTTCAATGGTAATCCTTTGCCTAATAATCTTGAGGTTATGAGTTCAAGTCTCGGGGCAATCATTTTGTGCACTATGCCAAATGTAAGATGTGTGCCCAATCTCTCCCCTCTCAAACACACATTAATGTGTACTATTTGGGCTTTTTTTTTATTATTAGTATACGACTTTGTGAGCAAAATGGGACTAATTTTGTATTACCTGCCCGACTTTGCAAGTTGAAAACACTGAGATTTCCAACCAACCCGCCGATTTTTTATGGTGGCAAGTCGGCTGCAGTTGGCAAATTAGCTAATCCGCTATCAACGGTTCAGTTGCCTTTTTAACATTAAACAACACAAAACTGCCCTGTGAACACTGTAACCACCACCACCACCACTACCTTATTTTTTTTGATAAATAAATATTCAGGTTTTATTAGAAAGTATCAAGGTGATGCAAAGAATACAAAAATTGAGCCTTGAAAAGTACAAAAACTAAACAATCAAATCATCCACAAAATCTACAAATAACTATGCAACACCAAAAGAAGCCTATTCTCTCGAACCACGGTACAGAATGAGATACCCCCTGGAAAGTCCATCTATTACGTTTTGATGAGAAGGTCCAATCAAGAACAAGAGAAAGAGAATGTAGAAAGAGAATTTAGAGAGATCTCAATCAATCAATGTTATAAATCAAAAATTCGTTAGAAAGTGGTTATGCCTCTTCTAGATATAGGCTACAATTCCCTCCATTAACCATCACATGCTATGCACATGATATCCTACAACACGTTCCAACTAAATCAACCACAATAAATACTGAGCCACAAGCAACCACGCATTTCAACATCATTTCCCAACTCTCACCGCTCTCCAACTCATGAGCACGTCCACAATCATACTCGACTGAACCCAAACAGCCCAACAATAATCAACCAAAGCTGAGACACAAACGGACAATGGATAAGCAAATGAGTTTGCATCTCTGTAACACATACAGCACCAATTAACCAAAATGTGACAGCGCCGAATCAAATTATCAATAGTCAAGATCCGTCCTAAATCCATTGTCCACACGAAGAAAGCAACTTTGGACGGAAACACCATCACCCAAACACTCTTCCAAGGAAACAAAACCACTGACCTTCCCCCAAGCTCATGATAGTATGAAGACACCACCACCTTATTGCCACCAACACCACTGTTGCTGTTGTCACAAACACCACCCTACCACTAGCTTCACCATCGCAGCCACTACCACCGTACGACTACAACCACCACATCCCCACCACTCACCACTCCACCACCACCACCATTGCCACAAACCACTAGGACATTATTTTTAGAGTCAACCAAACATAAAAAACCGTTTTCCCAGAAAAATGTTTTTCATTCAAACAAACGGAGCATAAATTTACATAAACTATTTGATACAATATAATGAAGTCTATTCTCATTTTGGGGCAAGTTTTGGCAAAAGGGGGAATGAAAAGATTTAGATTTTACTTCATAAATCTCAAAAAAACCATAGCACCATTTTAATTCAAAACTAGCTTAACAACCATATTGTAAAATTCACAACATCAATCTTATCTCTAACAATTATCAATAACATTCCCTCAAAATTTTAATTTTTTAAAAAGAAAAATATAGTTATTCTATACAAAAATTAAAAACAATGTGCCTAATTATATCAAGGATAATTAATAATGGGTCATCAAGTAGAGGCTCACAATTATAGTACCCTAATAAACAGAGGTTTTTTGCGATTATTACAGAATCAAGTGGGGATGATAATGTATTCCATCAACAATAGGTAAAGTAAAAGTCTCTGTTTCGGTTGGTCAAGAGGCTAAGGGAGTGGTAGTTGACATTGGTTCTTGTAGAATTTAATGTATAAAGAGAAATAGAGAGAGAATAAATTGTATGTATTATTGATTGATTTATATTGATATCTATTACAATGATTCATGATTCCTATATATAGAAGAGGGTGAGTGTGTAGTAGGTAAGGAGTAGGTGAAGTGGAGGTGGGCGATTATTACAGAATCAAGTGGATGATAATGTATTCCATCAACATAAGGAAAAGTAAAAGTCTCTGTTTCGGTTGGTCAAGAGGCTAAGGGAGTGGTAGTTGACATTGGTTCTAATAGGCTTAGTTTAACCTTGTTAAAGATAGATGAATCCTCCCAAGGAGACGAGCAATATGTAATAAAAAAAAATAAAAAAAATAAAAAGAAAGAAAGAAAAAGATTTGATACCTTCCAAGGAGACAAGCAATATGTAAAAAAACGATTTGATATAACGTAGTTTGAGATGCACTTTCTACTGCAGCAAGGTATTCTTTGATGTGAGATTAAATAGTTACAACTAGAATTACTGCCATGATTGGCAGCCACTCAGATCTTGTTTATTCTGCAATGTTAAGGATGGACTCCAATGTTCTTAGGGGTTTATCATTTAGTGGGCACCTATGGAGGAGAGAATTTTGGGTGGACTTGGCAAGTAAAGTGAGTAGCTAGTGTTTCCATGGTATACTTTTGTTTCATTTCTATGGAAATGAGGAAGCATTTGTTGGGCCGCTCTACCTTCATGTAGCGCATCTGGAGATGTGATTATTAGGGATGAGAGTAGTATTTGGAAGTGAAGTTAATGGGAATTTTCAGTCTGTTAAATTGAAGAATTGTGACAACGACGAGTGAAGTTAAAAGGGGTTTATGGTCAGAAAAGTCAATGGGGAAAGATTCACTAGAAATCTGAGAGATTTTGATGACTTCAAAGAGTATGATTTGATTAATCCTCCTTGGTCAAATGCCAGGTCTAGCTGGTGAAATCGCCAGGAAAGTTTGGTATGTAATAGGTTGGATAGTTTTTTTATCTTCTTATTGTCTACACAAATACGTATAGATGCACACATACATATTTATATGTCGGGCTGCACTTCAGGCACCAAAATTAACCAAGAACCAGTCTAACCTGATCCGAAGAAGAGTCCTCCAGTAGCCCAGTGTTATCAGGATTAGTACTTTCTTCAGGATTTCCTTGGCTGGAAGTTTCTTCCACAGCTTTGCTTTTCTCCCCTTTTGCTTCCTCAGCTGCTTTCTTTTCCTTCTCTTCTTTTTCTTTCTGCAATCGTTCTTTCTCCTCTGCTTTTTCTATCTGTTCCTTACGCTCTACAAGGATGAAACAAAGGTCAATGATATGAAAGCAAGCCTCATATTATTTCAATAATAATAATAAAAGAAGATAAAAACTAAGTCATCAACCACTTGCTCGACCATTCATTTACTTTGAAAATGGATTGGTATTCTTTTATGTGAGATTAAATAGTTATGACTAGAATTACTGCCATGATTGGCAGCCACTCCGATCTTGTTTATTCGGCAATGTTAAGGATGGACTCCAATGTTCTTAGGGGTTTATCATTTAGTGGGCACCTATGGAGGAGAGAATTTTGGGTGGACTTGGCAAGTATAGTGAGTAGCTAGTGTTTCCATGGTATACTTTTGTTTCATTTCTATGGGAACGAGGAAGCATTTGTTGGGCTGCTCTACCTTCATGTAGCGCATCTGGAGATGTGATTATTAGGGATGAGAGTAGTATTTGGAAATGAAGTTAATGGGAATTTTCAGTCGGTTAAATTGAAGAATTGTGACAACGACGAGTGAAGTTAAAAGGGGTTTATGGTCAGAAAACTCAATGAGGAAAGATTCACTAGAAATCTGAGAGATTTTGATGACTTCAAAGAGTATGATTTGATTAATCCTCCTTGGTCAAATGCCAGGTTTAGCTGGTGAAATCTCCAGGAAAGTTTGGTATGTAATAGGTCGGATAGTTTTTTTATCTTCTTATTGTCTACACAAATACGTATAGATGCACACATACATATTTATATGTCGGGCTGCACTTCAGGCACCAAAATTAACCAAGAACCAGTCTAACCTGATCCGAAGAAGAGTCCTCCAGTAGCCCAGTGTTATCAGGATTTGTACTTTCTTCAGGATTTACTTGGCTGGAAGTTTCTTCCACAGCTTTGCTTTTCTCCCCTTTTGCTTCCTCAGCTGCTTTCTTTTCCTTCTCTTCTTTTTCTTTCTGCAATCGTTCTTTCTCCTCTGCTTTTTCTATCTGTTCCTTACGCTCTACAAGGATGAAACAAAGGTCAATGATATGAAAGCAAGCCTCATATTATTTCAATAATAATAATAAAAGAAGATAAAAACTAAGTCATCAACCACTTGCTCGACCATTCATTTACTTTGAAAATGGATTAAGAAATTATTTGTTTGTTGGATTTTGCAAAAATGAGCGGTAAATCGGACGTCTAATTAGTTTTGGGTTTCAGCCTTACTCCAAGTCTTATTTGGTCCATCTTTAATTGAAAGCTCCAAACAACTACATAATTCCTAAAAGCAATGAGCAAAAAATTAATGTAGGGGCAGTAGGGCTGCAGTTGAGGTCTATATCTAAGGCTGAATTATATCCAGATTTGGTGGCCAAAGCTCCATAAAAATCTAAGGGTGTTAGAGTTTGTATGGGAAAACTTATCAGGCTCCATAAAATCTAAGGCTGAGTTTGGTCCATCTTTAAAGCCCTACTAGGGCAAGAAAAGAGCAAGTTTGCAGCACTGATAACGGGCTGTGACCAGTAACAAGAACTAAGTTTGGTATATTTGGGGTAGGGGTGTTCAAAAAATCTCAATAGCCCGCGAACCCGGTCCGACTCCGTCCAACCTGACTATGATACAGGCAGTTTCGCCCAATAGCCCGGTCGGCTGCGGGTGTAAATTTTAAATTTTTGTGATTTTTGATCAGATGTCAAGCTTAACATTAACGGATCTGCCTAAACCGACCCGACCGAATTATATATATATACACACACTTTTATTGTTATGTTAGATTTACTTGTCTAGGGAAATTAACCAAGCCAAGACCTACTCTCTTTGTCTTCGAAAATCGCACAAACTGCATAGACTTTTATTTTCCCAAGAGAGAACTTGCCTCTTCCCAATCGAAGATTTGACCTGTCACTTTAACCCTCTTGTCACCTCAATTCTGATGCCTTCTCCCCTCTCTCTCCTCTCTTTCTCTCAAACCTCTCATCTCCTCTTCTCTCTCACCTACCCACCATCTCATCTCCCCCTCCCTCTCTCTCTCCTTTCAGAAACAAATCCATCTCTTACTCTCCATCTCTGCTTCTCTATCTTCTCCCTAACCTCTTTCTATAGATGATGTGGCAACGGTACTAGCAACGATGAGCGATGGCAGTGGTGGTGGTTGCGGCTGCAATGAGCAATGGCAGGGGCGGTGGTGACAATCAATGATTGCGATCCCTCTCTCGCTTTTTCCATATTCTGTCCTTAACTCTCGTTCTAATTGTAAGAAATATATGTATATGTTTATATGGGTGTCAAGTTTGTTATTTTGAAATTTTAATTCCATTTTTCATACTATTTTCTTCACTCCTATCAGATTTTCGAAATCAACCAAACCAAATTCTTTGATTCGGTCGATTTTGAACTCTAGTTCGGTCGATGATGGGTGACTGATTCTCTAACTTGAAGGTGTAACCGAGCCATGAACGCCCTAATTTTGGGCACTACCGACGAAGGGGAAAAAGGAGAATGTATTACAATTGTTTAATAAAGTTTATCAGTGGGAAACTAAGAGTATTCAGATCCACATCTGGGCTTCAAAGGCTTAAAAGTGAAGGGAAAAAAAAATATGAAGCCACACTAATGATTAGAATTGTATCACTCTCTCCCACAAAAGCTTCAAATGCTTCACCAATTTTTTTAAAACATGTTTTGTATTGAATAGAAAGCATTGCGTAGTTACATACCAAATTTCAAGCCTACAATGAGACTTAACTCCCTATTTAGACACTGAGGGATCTGCCTTCTAAAACTCTACTTAGTACAACCAAAAATAATACCATTTTCTCCTCTTCGGAGGAAAAATCTGGACAATTTGCTTTCTATACTGAGAATGTTTAACATGTTTTCAGGACTAGAAATTAGGACTTGAATAAAAGCAACAGTCAGTATTAATTTCCAGCATGATAGTTTAGTAAGGTTGGATTTAAGGTTGTTTCAATGAGTCATTGCCTTCAAAGTATTTAGGGTTTCCTACAGGGGTAAACATAGAACTGACTCCTCTTGAGGTCCAACTACTGAGAAGATTGGTAAAAGATTGGAGGGCTAGAAGACGGCATTGATTTCTAGGGGAGGGAGCTATACGTTAATTCAGTTAGTTTTGTCAAGTTTTCCAATTTATTATCGGTCAGTGTTTGAGATCCCGGTGCAGGTGGTAAATAAGATTGAGAAGATCTATGAAGCACGGATACTTCAAATAGCGTGACATATCTATATCATATCCGTATCGGATACCGATACTCCTTGGATACTCACAGATATTTCTTAATTAATTTTTCATTAATTTTGGAGCATTGGATACTTAATTTTCAAGTATTGGATACTCCAAGTCACGTATTACTTGTTTTACAAAATTAGAATTGTAGCAAGGATACTTAATTTTCGAGTATTGGATACTCCAAGTCACATATTACTTGTTTTACGAAATTAGAATTGTAGCATTTCTTGCATAGTATTATAATATAATATAATTACAAAGACAAATATAAGAATATTTTCTAATACTTTTAGTTCTTTGATATGAAGAACATAGTGAGTTAAATAATAGAATTTGTCAAATTGATGTATCCTAATTGTTTCATGCATGTCCCCAATAAATACACAGAAAGTAAGGATTAACAAGAAAATATAATAATATTAAACAAATAAGAAAGTAAACTTGAATACAATATTTTTTACAAATGCCAAAAGGAAAAGCACAGGGATAAGTTGTGGATTATTTTATTATTGTCATATAAACATATTAGACTTGATATTGAAATGAAATATTTGCAAGACCATTGAAAATTTAAAAGGTAAACAAACTACTAGCTTAAATTAATAGCTAATTCTTAAATATTAGCATTTTGCATTATAAAATTACATTGTGGTTTTTCAACATTCTTTAGCATGTGTAACTCATTACTAATAATTTTAAAAAATATATTTTTCACAAATGTATCCTAGTCATACCCATATCCTATTTTTTTAAGTTTTGTCGTATCGTCGTATCCGTATCCGTATCCATGTTTCCTAGGAGAAGATGATTAGGGATTCTGGTGAACGGGAAAATTTGAACTTCTATTTAATTGTATAAGAGGCCCTAAGTCGTTAATTAATTCCTATTAGTTCCTGTTTAATTAAAAATAACTACGCAAGTTAGTTAATCGGTATGCATGAACGACTTTCCGTTTAGACTTGAGATTGGAGAGATAGACTCTCTAAGACAGGTAGACAACTTTTTTGCGTTAAGAACATTAATATCTAATATTTTATTATTAATCTAGATTAAGATTATTTAATTATGTATTGGGGCTTATCAAATTGCATAATTGCATAGAAGGGCTTGGAGATTTGAATTTGGGGGCTAGAAAACAATTTTTCAAAACTCCACCTACCACAATAAAATGCAGAATTTTCAGCAAATGACACTCTCTCTCATCACATGTTGGACTTTCCTCTTTGGGAGGCTACATTCTCTTAAGCATTCTTACACATTGTTTTAACCATGTGTCTTTAACTAATGAGGTAATTTCTACCCTAATAGTTGTGCTAGCTGCATTTATACAAGTTTAAGTGTTATATGATCATGGTGATTAGTTGGAAGAATAAAATGGATGGTTGGGATTGCTTGATGTAGTCTTGGGCAATATAGACCCTTGGATTAATCTTTTCTCAAAACCTAATTGAGGAAGATATGATACAAGGCCTTGGTAGTCTTTTTAGAGAAAGGAAAACATAACAAGAACACCCACAACCATCAGCCCCCTAAGTCGTGGGTCACCCCCTCCCTGATGCGGGATGATTAGGGACAGCCACAACAGTGGATTTGGGGGCTCATTTAATTGGATTTTATAGCTAAAATTGCAATAAAAATAGGGTGAATTACACTAATAGTCCCTATAGTTTGGAACTTGTGTCACTTTGGTCCCTAATTTTTCAATTGTGACACATTTGACCTTGAATTTTGAATCTTGTTCCAAATAAAGACAATTGAAGATATCATTAGATTTTTCAAGGGTAAAATAGTCAATTTGATAAAATATAAACTAATTTGACCAAAATATATGTCAAACAAATATTTTTAAATTTTTAAAAATTATTTCTATCCACTAAAAATAAAATTATGTAAAATTGATAAATCTTTTAAACATTTATTTATTTATTTTACCAAATTAATTTTTATTATGTGTTTGAATGATGATCATGTAAAATTAATTTTAAAAAATTAATCATGTAATTTTTATTAATTTTTATCAATTTTACACAATTTTATCATTGGTGGATAAAAATAATTTTTAAAAAATTAAAAATATTTTTTTGACATTTATTTTTGTCAAATTAGTTTATTTTTTATTAAATTGACGATTTTGCTCTTGAAATTAAACAATGATATATTCAATTGTCCTTATTTGGAACAAGATTCAAAATTTATGGTCAAATGTGCCACAATTGAAAAGTCAGGAACCAAGTGACACAGGCCCCAAACTATAGGGACTATTTGTGTAATTTGCCCATAAAAATATGAGGGACAAGTAGGGTTTGTTTACGGTAATCAATGGGTAAGAGTTTAAGCATGAAAAGATAAGATTTTGGCACTATTTAGGGGCTGTGAACAGTATCCATGAACAGTGTTTTGACTGTTAAAATGTGCAGAAAATACAAGAGGGGAAGAAGGAGAAAAAGAAGATAGATCTAAGAATCACTCCTAGAATTCCTTAGGCATAGGGTTAGGATTGCATCACACAAACCCAAAGAGGCTTCAAAACTCTCAAATTCTTTAAATTATCAACTCTATTGAATTAAAAGCATTACATGACTTTTTATAGACTTTAGAGACTTTCTAAATCAACTAGAACCAAAAAATGAAACTATCACAATACCGATTTAAGACCGAATAAGAAACATAAATAAAAACTAATTAAATAACTTGACCCATAAGACAACCCATGGGCAACCCTTACGGCCCATGTTAACAAATATAAAATTATCAAAATACCCCTAAGCTTA